AAAAGGATCATCAGCCGGAATCATCATTGGAGTTCGTATGATCACGAAGGTGGGACAACAACGTTCTCAACATTTGGCACTTGATTATTCATATTTCTGCCAGCAGCATCATGATTAACGGGGTTCGTAACCTCTGCTATATGAGGATTCTCATCGATATCCATAGCAGGAATCTCATTCCCTGGAGCAGTATTTGAATCCATGGGATTTCTTGGATTATCAATGATCTGTTGAATAAATCCAATCATTGTTAACTTTCACAAAGCTTATAAACTAAACCGAGTTTCACTTAACTTATAAATTGGTTTTGCTCGCTTCTAGTGATAGCCGGAGGGTTCACCCCGATTCCCACGTCCTTACTATGAGGAGGGTATAAAGGGCTTCCTCTTCAAACCCGGCCCGCTAAGACAAAGCTTGCTTCCCCAATTTACAGGAAAAGTTACTTCCGATTTTGTTTAACCTTTTTCTTTTCTTCAAAAATAATATTCCTTTTTGTTTTTTCCACAAAACACTTTTAAATAAAAGATATTGAGCAAATTCTCTTATGGGTTTTTAGACTAATCTTTTTAAATTGGGCCAAGACAAAAGTTTTCAATTTGGACTTACTCTTTTGGGCTTCTCAATTAATCTCTTTTAATTTGGGCTTCACAAGTAACCTCTTTTAATTTGGGCTTCATTTTTAAATTTGGGCCTTAAACTCAATTGGGCTTAGACTCATTAATATTTGAAAAAGAAAACAACTATTTGGTTTTTTTCCAACAATTTTTTTTTTTTAACCTAGTTGTTTCTAAATCCAAATTCGTGTGAGGTTTTATACCGAAATTGAAAGAGATTTAGGCACTTATCCGAGAAGTTTGCCTCGTGTTAACCATTTCGAACTTAAGACTGTTAGGGACGGCGGTTATTGACGACAGCAAAACTCCGGCAATTCGAGCGATTCCAGATAAGTACATGAAATTAAAAGAATATTTTGTCGAGGCCTGTGAAACACAGTTTCCTTAAGTTCGATTTCCGTGCCACCTCTAAAGCTTCGAGGCTATTGGAGCACGGTGAACTCACAGGATACAACAACCGTGTATTTGGAAGAAGCTTTCCAAATACCAAGCGAACTCAGAGAGAGATATGAGCAAATATGTGAATGCTCTTTTTTTCTCTAGAATGTTTGTTTCCTTTTCTGTGTCTTTTATGAACTAACCCAAGACCCCTATTTATAGTAGAGGGGAGAATATCAAAACAAATCAATTTGAATTTCAAAATTCAAATTTGATTTTATCTTGATATTATCTCAATCTTATCTTAATCATATTTGATAGATTTTCTGCGGATTTGGATCCAATTTGAATTTGAATTTGAATTTCAAATTCAAACAAGAATATTCTCTTAATATTCTGCAGATTTAAAGTTTCTAAAACTTTATACGGACTGGGTTTCTCACAGACTAGGCCAATTTTGATTCTTTCAAATAAACCCAAATCCAACACCATATTCATATAAATTCGACTATGTAATATAATTGTATTACCATTGGGCTTATAAATACACTTTAGGTTTGTATTATTAAGGAATGGGCCCTCATTAGGCCCAATGGGCTTTTTATTCTTGTTGACACCTTGCATATCCGCTGTCTGCAGGAATCAAAGAAACATTCAAGTGATAAAAACACATTTAAACTTCTTCGTCAATGGGTTACAAAGACCCCCGAGTTCGAATCTCACTGGTTAAAAAAATAGTGATAACATAAATAAAGATTTATCTCCAATAACGACTGGTCCTGGGTTATGGGGACTAGTTGGGCTGAAATAGTGATTAAAAAAAAACTTTTTCTAAAACATGAAAACCGTATAGTTGAGATTATTATCTGGTAGGGATCATGTTTTGATTCGTTTTCGAAGAACAGAACTATAATGAATCGAAAATTTCGATATTTTTTTCGAATCGTACCATTCAAAATTTTCGAACGGTATTTTTTTTATAAAACCGAATTTTTCGGAACTAAATCGAACTGAACCGAACTTTTAAAATTCCCGAAAAACCGAAATTTTCTTAAAAAAAATCTGAATTATTTAAAAGAACCGAAATCGAGCCGTACCAAAACCGAAACCAAACAAAACCAAATAATATACGGTACTAATTTGGTATAAATATTAAAATACCGAATAAACCGTTCCCGAACCGATCCACTATAATTTCAAACCGAATCTAGGAACGTCCATCTCTACTATTTGGTTATATTTGTTACAAGAAAATTCGAACTCGAATGCATATAATTCGTTCCAATGCATTCGAACTTTTGAAAGATGAGATCATGAATTAATGTTGAATGATTTGTAGATATGCGAGGAGGTAGAACAACATTTTTTTAAGTTACGAACTAAAGTTGCCTATTCATTTCATGCTACTATAAAAAACTCACGTAGGATCCAATTTTAAAAATCGATTGGGCAGGAGTTTGTTAAACTAAATTAAACCATCTCCAACCAAATATAAAAATAACCCAATTGATACAATTTTGGTATCACGTAGAATCCAATTTAAAAATCAATTAGGTAAGACTTGTTTAAACCAATTAAACCATTACCAACCAAATATAAAAACAATCCAATAAATACTTTTTTTCCATGAAAGTTTAAACAAAATTTTCTAATCGAAATCAATTCCTCGGTATAATTTAACAAAACATCTCTATCATACAAAAAATGACCGAACTAAAATCCGATATATGCCACCCATTAATACCGAAAATTCGAACTATTAGTTCTATTATGCTAATCTACGTTGTTAAAAAAAAACCGTTCTCACATTTATACAAAAAGAGGAAGAGAGACCGTCGTTCAGATTGGTGACGGATAATACATTAATGAAGACAAATTCCAGGTAGCCGTTGGCCGTTGGAATCACCCACATCACATCACATGTAGGGATGTCAATTAAGCCCAAAGCCCGAAATCCGCCCCGAACCCCCCGAAAATAATAAGAATATGGATCTAAAAAATATAGACTCATTAAATTTCGGGCTTTCGGGCTTCGGGCTAAATAGGCTGCGGGCCAGTCGGGCCGGGCCGGTCGGGTCTCGAGCCGCGCTTGAGGTCCATTAATTTTTTTCTAACCCCTTTTTCTAAGCCAAAGTTTTACCTCTCTATGATTATCTTAATTTCTTTTTAACCATATTACATCATTTGATAATAATCTTTTGTACTATTTTTTTACTAAATCAAACCTAACCTTTGCTATTTGATTAAATTTTTTTGTTTTATATTTTTTCACTCTATATTGGTTTTGTTTCGTACTAGTAGTTCGGATTTTGTTCTTCAATGCACATAAACAAACACATGTTCTATATTTATATATGTGTATCTTTTAACCAAATGACGAAACTTTATTTTGGATCCAATTAATACTTTTTAAAGTGATGAAAACTTTTATTTTTTTAATCATATTACATCATATATATATATATATATCAATTTATATTTTTGAAAATGTAGAAACTTTTAATTATATATATTTTTAAACCTTTATTTACATATGAATATATTGATTCTTTTTCTATATGTTTCAAATTAATTACATCATATAATTGTATTTTTATACTATGTTTGCTTTTTTTTAATATTTTACATTATTATTATTATCGTAGAAAAAAATATTTTTATTTGATAAAAAAATCCGAAGTCCGGCCCGAAACCGTCCGAAGCCCTATAGGGTCGGGCTCCGGGCCATCGATCCTAGACCCGAAAAATAAATGGGCGGACCGGCCTGGTCCGAAAAATTCTAGGTCCGAATTAAATCCGGTCCGAACCCGACTCGGTCCACCCATTTTACACCCCTAATCACATGCATGTCCGAATATTTTAAAAAATTAAAACAAAATTGGATTAAACAGTAAATAGAAGAAGAAAATGAGCGCAAAAAAGTGGCAATATATAAAAAATACCCCTATTTTGATTTCAAGGTATATCTTTCTCCATCTATGATCCTGTGGTCCATGTGACCAGAAATTTAATTTTGATCATAACATTGAATTTATAAATTTTATATCAAATGATTAATGAGATATATAATATATAAGGTATGAATATAATGAATGGATGTGATTATCGTAAATTTAACATTATAGTCAATATAACCAAAATTAAATTTCTGATCACATGGTTTATAGGGTCACAGATAGAGAAGGTTATACCTTGAATTCAAAATAGCAAAGTAAGAATATTTTTGATAATGGTCAGCAAAAAGTAAAATCTATAAAATATGGTCCGAAAAAACATTATCTTTCATTCCGCAATCAATGCGTTTTATTTTATGGATTTCAATGTAAAATGCTTACAATGCAGATAAGTGTAACGCTTACCAACCCGCCACGGCAGCTTCCGTATATGGTATGGAACAGTTAATTGTGTATCAAACTTAACTGCGTATTATTCTCTCATCATAATCTATGCTAAATTAATAGTTGGTATATAACTATTAACTAAGAACTTTACCAAAACAAAAAAAATTATTCACTAAGAAGATGATACAAGATTAGTTTAATTTTATTAACATTTTAATTCATTTTTATTTTTTTTGAATATTTATATTTGATAACTAATTTTTTTCTAATTATGAATCTTACGTGACAACCCTTTCGCATAATAGCCTTTTATAAAGTATATATTACCGTCAAATAATATTTAATTGAACAATATTACAAAATTTTGTAGATATATATCGTTCCTCTCTTCCGATAAAGAAAAATCGTGGAAAAAAAGTAAGCAACACAAATTTCTCCAGAGAGAATGTTTTTTTATAAAAAAAAAATCTTTTTTCTCTAAATAAACGTAAAGTTGTCAATTTGGCACCTTTTTCCTCGGCTCAAACATGTGCAGCTTATGAATTGAACAAATTTATTAAAACCAACATCCACATTACGAGAATTATAAACTATTAATCAAATTCACATAATACAAGAAAGAAGCATATATGGGTTTTATGATGTTATATATCAATTATCACCCGCATTTATTCCTTCGACTAAAACCCAGCTAAATATAGAAATAAATATAACAAATTTTTGAAAATATACAAAGAATTTATTTTTTGAAAAAAATAAATAATGATTGAACTTGAAAGGTCAAATTAATCTGTGAAAATAAATAATCAATCTCTCTTAACTCTTCTTCTTCCTGAAAACGAGCTCAGTGTCAAGACCAAACCCATCGATCTTCCTCACCTGCAGGAGCTTCGACTCACGGAAAAGCTGCACCAATGGCTTCACACTGAGCAAATCATTAGCAGAGTACTTATCGGTGCGTCCAGATGTCGACACGTGTAAGACGCAGACCCCTCCCGGCTTCAGGGTCCGTTCGATCTCTCCGACGAACTTCTCCGGGTAAAGTGCGTGGTCGAAGACGTTAGAGAACTCGAAGTCGAACGTGTCGCGCGGGAAAGGCTGCGCGTGGAAGTCACCTTCCACGACGAGAGGCGGCGAGGCGACGAGGTCGATGCCGATGGCGTCGGGGACTCCGATCCGCCGCAGCGCCGCCACCTCCTGCCCGACCCGAGCTCCGATGGAGAGGCACTTGGAGTGGTTGGACAAGAGCCCTCGAGATCTGAGGCGGAGGAAGAAGGACGAGAACACTCGAACCTGATTCAAACATCGCAATCGAATTCAATCGTCGATCGAATCAACGGAATTTCTAGATCTGTCAGGTAAGAAGATGGGTACCTTACGGTCCCAGTCGCGGGTGGTCCAGACCTTGCGGAGCTTGGGGTTGAGGGTTTTGTTGAGCTGGTGGTGGATGTACGCGTCGTAGGAGGAATATCGTCGGCGGATACGGATGTCTCCGGCGGCGGAGGGGCGGAGGAGGGAGGAGGAGGGGAAGGCGAAGAAGAAGAGGAGGAGGAGGGACAGGGAGAGGAGGACAGAGAGGATGAAGGGTATTTTGGGAATTATGAATTTCATGGCTTCACCATGTGCTTTGAGCTTCAAGGAAATGGAAAGGTTATAAGAGAGAGAGAGAGTAATGTTTTACAAAAGTCAAATGTGGAATTAAAAGGGAAATTCCGCGTTTTGTGGGACCCTCTAGCTCGACACGATGAATAACATAAAAAACATAGGAATTAAAAAAAAATTCAATGGAATATTTTCCTAAATACGATAAGTTCAATGTTGCATTCCATTTAACTTAGTTTGTGATATTTTTCCGATGGATTTTTAGTGACATACAAGTATTCTAATAAACAATGTATAGTTTTTTTTAAAATTAATAAATAAATATAATGAAATTATAAAAATCAATAATATTTTCTACAAACAATTAAAACCGTTTGTAACTTAAACTCCCTAATAGTTACAAACCCATTATAGTACTAGAAGGAATGTCTTTTTCCCTCAAATATTTTTTAATAATGAAAGATGTTAGGTTTAAACTTACACTAATTTTCTAATTTTGAAATGTTATATTAATATCCAATAGTGAAAGATTGACAAAATATCAAAACCCGTATTCTCACCATTATATATAGGGGTGGGCACGGATCGGATATCCGGAATTTTTCCGATATCCGTATCCGTATCCGATCCGTACAAATATTAAATTTTATTATTCGTATCCGATCCGAAGTTTTCGGATATCCGTAATTTTGAATATCCGTAAAAATTACGGATATTTACAAATATCCGTATCCGACAAAAAATAACAAATATGATAAATAAAATTATAAAAAATACTTAAATATAAATACAATATATATATAATTTATCAGATACAAATAATATACAAAGTTTAAAATATTCAAATACAATTCATCACATACGAACATTTTAAAATTTATAAATATATTCAAATTTTAAATTCAAAAGTTTAAAGCTCATAAATCTCTCTACATATTGAGTTACTATGAGAAAAATTCAAAATATAATATAAAACATGGAGAGAGATTTTTGGTAGAGGTTTAAGAAATCAACAGAAATGGCAGACTATGAGACAGATGAGGAGGAGGAGAAAGAACTTTTAGTAGAGACTTGAAGAATAAACAAAAATGGCAGACTATGAGAGAGAAGAGAGAGAGAGAGGGGAGGAGGAGAAAGAGTTTTTGATAGAGACTTAAAGAATCAACAAAAATGGCGGACTATGAGAGAGAGAGAGAGAGAGAGAAGAGGAGAAGAGCTTTTGATACAAGCTTAAAGAATTAACAAAAATGGAGAACACGGTGTGCGAGGGAGAGAGAGAAGAGGAGGATGAGAAAGAATGGTGGCGGACAAAAGAGAATGAAACAAAAAACCCTAGGATATCTTTTGGTTTTTACAAAGTTATCCCTAAATATAAAATAATTACTAATTTACTCATATATTATTAATATTACTAAAAGATACGGATCGGATCGGATATGTCGGATAATTCTATTTTAATATCCGTATCCGATCCGTATCCGACAAATATTTTAAAGCTAATATCCGTATCCGATCCGTGAACTCCTGATATCAGAATTTTCGGTTCGGATACGAATCGGATAACGGATCGGATCGGTTTTTTCGGATATTTTGTCCACCCCTAATTATATATATATACACACAGCAAGAAGAACATTTGTCAAATTCATATTTTTTTTTTCACTGGTCAAAAGGAATGAAACATTTTTTTTTCAAAATCTAAGATGTTACATAAATAATTATCTGTGCTACTAATGTTATAGTATCTAATATATTTTATTCATAGTAACTTTTATATATTCTTAAAACGTTTGTAGGATCTAATAAACAACGGCATTTTTCTATAGTAAATTTTGTAAATCCATAATTATAATTTATATCACCAATATTTTTCAATATGAATATGAAATTAAAATGTAAAAAAAAGTCAGAGGGCAAATGATCGATGGAAGATTCCAGTAGCAGAGCATTGAATCATTTCAAATGCATCGCGCTTTACTCCAATTTGCCCCTTTTTTCTTTTTATTTTAATTCAAACATTATTTTATTTTTTTGTTTTCCAAATAAAAAAACTACAAAAAGCTTTCTCGCTTCTCACATGCATGTGCCAACAACGGTCTCTCTATTCATATTTATTGTCCGATGAATTATTTAGATATATTAAAATTTTCAAAACTAATATCGGACTTTTTAAATAAATTAGAAATACAAAATATTTTTGTTAAATTTAAAAAAACGAATAGCTGTATGGAATTTTATTTTATATAATAATGATAAAATCCGCACAACCGTAACTCTTCGTGTAATAGAGTGAGAACAATTACGTGAGACACCTCTTTCATCGTGTCGTCGTACTCATTTCCGTTTCTCCGGCAAGCTTAGGGTTTAGATGCCGAATCCCGATGGATCAAATCGAAGAACCCACCGTCCAGAATCCCCACAATTCCGTCTCCGAATCGCCATTGCAGGCTTCTTCTTCCAATTCCGCCGCAGATCCACCCTCGGGTGGTCCCGGTCACACGGCGGAGGACGTTAACCAATTTTACGATCAGTGGCTTACTCAGTTGCAGAATCTGGAGCTGGAAGGGAAAGCGACGGAAATCGAGTCGTGGAACGGTGACTCCGCCGCAGAATACGGAAGAAGAGAGGCGAATGGGAAGAGTGAAGAGGAGAGTGACGGTGAGTACCGGATCGAGAGTGAGAAGCTCGTCGACGACGAAGAGATCGACGGGAAGAATGCGAGGAGTAGATTTTCTTTTCCGGTGAGACCTGAAGCTGTGGACTGTGCGTTTTACATGAAGACAGGGAACTGCAAATATGGGGCGAATTGCAGATTCAATCATCCGGTTCGGACGAAGAATCAGGTATTGATTGTCTGAGCATGGTCTTATTCCAAATGATTGGAAGGAAGGATGAAATGCTTGTTGATGTTCTTTCGTTCTGTGGAATATCAACAACTCTATTGGATATTGTGGTATCCAGTGGGAAATTCAGACTTTTTTTTTCGGAAATGGTCATAAAAAGTTCTGTTATTTGCGTAGTTTGGTCGGAGATGGAACTCTATGTACACTTAATTTGGAAGCTTCTAAGGATAGGATGTAGACGTTGATGGAATCTTACGTTTTATTTCAACTTTTGAAGGTGAACGAAGATGCTGGACAGAAGCCAGGCCAGATAGAGTGCAAGGTATTGTATTTTCCCTACGCCAATTTGCTTTTCAGTTGCGGTTTCATGATTTGTTGGGATTGTGAATTTTGAATGCTTTTTGTGTTAGATGATTTGCTCCAAAGTTGGATAACATTTTGTTTTTCGATCGGTTGTCATCTCTTTAACTTGGAAATCGTTTATTGAAATCGAACCGCCTTCTTAATATGTCCGAGTGGAATATGGTTATAGTCACCATTTTGATAGACTACATTCTTCTTGAAGTATTACCTCCGGACAGGTGGGTGCAAGTATGGAAAAGATTGTAGGTATTTGCACAACAAGGCAAAACTTCATGTGGCTCCAGCCTTTGACCTTAACTTCCTGGGCTTGCCTATCAGACCTGTAAGATTTTTGACGTGGTCTTGGCGACTTAATCTAGATCCTGGTAAATTTTGAACCACTGGTTGTTTTACAATCTTTAACCTTATTCATTTACAGGGCGAGAAAGCATGAGAAATGGTTCCTGCAAATTTGGAGCTAGCTGTAAGTTTGATCATCCTGATCCTAAAGCTGTCGGTGGGGCTGATCCTGCCCCGGTATATGTCAATGGTGTCCCTGGTGGATCGACTCCTTCACAGGCAAATGTGGCATCATGGTCTATTCCAAGGCCATCGAACGAAACCGCTCCTTATGTGCCAGTTATGTCATCAACTCGAGGGGTTCCTTCTCAATTTTCAGAATGGAATGGATACCAGGTAAACGATGGGTATATTATCTACGTGCGACGTTGATCATACTGCCGTTTTTTTTAATTACAAGATATCATTTGCTTGTTATCGTCACACCACTGAATTTCTTTCTACCTATCTCTGATTTTGCTGTCTTCTGCTATAAGACTCCGGCATATCCACAAGAAAGAAGTATGCGTCCCTCAGCTGCATTTGCAAATAATACAGCAACTGGAACCAGCATCTATGGAAACAATCAGGAGATGCCATCGGATGATGAGTTCCCGGAGCGACCTGGTGAACCTGCATGCAGCTTCTTCTTGAAAACGGGGGAATGCAAGTTCAAGTCTAATTGCAAGTATCATCATCCAAAAATTCGGCCACCAAAACCACCTCCTTGTGTTCTCAGTGACAAGGGCCTGCCTTTAAGACCAGTAAGTCAGTATAATTTCTTTTGGTTTGCCATTTCTGATTCCATATCTGTACTTTTATCTTGATGATATCTATTGCCCTATGTGTCTTTTCTGAGAGTACATGGTGCTGAGCCAGTCTTGAGACCCCCGCGAATGGGCCTAACTTCATGGTTCCTTATGGAACAACAGGATGAGTGAGATTCTTTGTTAAATTAGAATGGCTGATATAAATCGAAACTGTTAAATTGCCGATGTAGTTGCATGTACCTGGTAATTTCCTTTTACTCCGGTTGCCAGCAGCATGAGTAGATTTGAGTTGGATTTGGAAGGGGTAGTTGCAGAGGAATCTTACTGCTAGAAATAGCAAAGGTTTTCAAGAATTGAACACGGCTGAGGTTAATATATTCATGCAGGTGGGTTTGATTTTCTTATGTGTTTTCGAAATGCAGGATCAAAACATCTGCTCACACTACAGCCGATATGGCATATGCAAGTTTGGGCCAGCTTGTAAATTCAATCACCCTACTTTGTCCGTAACTGATTCTGACATAGACAAGCCGGTGGCTTCTACGAACTAGCCCTTTGGCTGCAGAATCCTGAAGCCAAGCTTGAGTTCAGTACATGCACCCGATGTACCATCGGCTCCGCCGGATTTTTAGGTCTAACGGTAAAAGCCTGACTTCTAAATCCTTGCGAAACTGTAAGTTAAAATGCTACGCTGCACATAAGTTCGTTTAAGCTAAAACTGCCTCTAGGCTTTTCACAGCAGCGTGTTGTGTGTTTTAGACAAAGACAGACTGCAAACCTAGGGTTTTTTTTTTTTTTTTTTTTTTTTTTTAATTCTTCTGTTTCTTTTGTAATAGACCTAGAAAAGGTGGGCATGATGCTGGAATTGAGAAGGTGAAGTATGGCTGGATTGTTGTCCTAAATCCACTTACCATCATACTACCGGCCTTAAACTGCAAATCTTACTTAAAGTTTTGACATTTTCTTTATAATAAAAATCCCAATCCATCAACCCAAAGTCCAGCCAAACACGGCATTGCCATCCCTATTTCCGGAAATAATTGAATCATATGCGTCTGACAATACTTAAGCACGTCGTTGCTATATACTCAACGTTTAAAAAAATAAATTTCATGTTGCTGAAAAAAAACTGAGGAAGGCCAAAGTCATGTCATCGTCGTATCTTTTCCTCCACACTAATTTAACACATCTTACAAAATAGTTTTCTGAGGCAGAGAGAGAGACACAGAGTAGGGTTTCACTTTCAGACAAGAAGCTTCACCATGTAAGGCCCTTCAAGTTCATAACCTAACTTTCTGTAGTAATGGCGGGTTCCAACCCCCGAAATCACTGCGACTTTGTTCGAGCTGTGTTCCCTCCTCGCTATCCTCTCCGCTTCTTCCATCAGAAGCGTTCCGTATCCCTGCCAGATCGATGCAAAACCATCATAAAAAAAATTCATGAGAAAACATTATCGAAGCAAATGACTTTTGTTTCTTCTTCTTCTTCTTCTGTCGGTAAAAATGCAAGCTTGAAGTTGTTCTCAGTCACCTGGTGTTGCAACTTATCCGCCTCTCTACCATGAACAGGAACAGCTGTTCCGTACACGTGAAGTTCACGGACAATGGAGCATTTCCCCATGAGTTCTGGACAAGTAACGTTCCTCCCACACTTCCTCAAACGTAATAACCCGACAAGAATGTCCTGCGTCAGACAAACACAATGTGATTGGCTCAGTACAGGTGGCCTTTTCGGGTTCCCTTCTGTTATGTTCGGTTTTTATTGGTAAAACTACTAATTTTCCAAAGAAATTTTTGGTTTTTTTCGTTATTATTATATTCGGTTCGGGTGTTACGTTTTTTTTACGGTTTTAGAGGAATTATAACCATTTGGTTTTTATATTGAAAGTGTAACCCATTCTGGAAGGTGAGGATGAAAGATATGAAGGGTTATACCTGGTGTGTGTCTTCATACGAAAGGAACGTCTCCCAACCTTCGTTGGCAGTGTAATCACGACGTACAAGCTCTACTTCTTCTGGCTTGATTTTGTGGTGAATGTCCTGTAACCGGAAAAAATAAGCAGATAAAGCTTCAAGGAAAAAAAAATCAGTTTCCGAACAAAAAGGAAAAAGAGGATAGGCAGAGCTGTTAGTCGTCTCTCACCTGAATTCCAGCTTCACGCGTACGAACATCACGGCATTTCAGACCCAAGTCATCCATTCTAGCCAAAGCCAACTCACGAAGATTTCCTTTTTCAACCCCTGAAGTAACCAAAGGCATAGGAATATCACGCTGAACTCTATAAACACGTGTCCACGGAGGTACCATGGAAAGAATCCTCGCTACTATATCCACCAGTTGCTCTGGTGGATAATTTCTATACCTGCAGAGCGATCACACAACATAATAAGAATTCCGCTCTAACATACATGCGCTCATGTAAGAAAAATGTGATATCATACCTGCCAGTTTTCCAGAGTTCATAAAGCCCAGTTCCACGTATCACAAGGGTGGGATATATTTTTAACCCATCGGCTCTAAAGGATGGGCTCTCAAAAAACTCCTTGAAACTTTCCATGTCTCTCTCAACCCCGACATTAGGAAGATCTGGCATCATGTGTGCAACCACCTACCGCAAAAGACAGAATAAGATGACAGAAATGAGACTATTTTGATGATTAGCTATACAAGAAAATGAAGGACAATCAAGGGCTATTGCTTTCGAAAAAATAAATGAAGGGAAAACATTACTGAAATTGAAAGTAAAAGCGGCCAAGGGATGTTATTACGAAAGGAAACTGTAGGTGTACCTTGAAACCAGCATCTTTAGCGAGGCAAAAGCAGTCAGCTACTGCAGCAACTGTGTGTCCCCTATTTGTGTCGCGAGCAACATCTTCATATGTGCTCTGGACACCGATCTCGAGCCGTGTGCAACCATAAGACAGCATTTGTCGTAGATGAGGTCCAAGACAGTAATCTGGCCTCCTAATCAATTTATAAGGACAGACGAGAAAATGTCTATTCAAATTTGATATCTTGATCTTAAAGAGGTTGGAAATTGAAGCTAAAATCAAGCTTCTACTTCGACGATTAGCTACACAATAGAATGAGCTTGAAAGAACTGTTCTCCCTCCCCTTGCCACATTTTATCAAATGACATAGACAAGTAAGATGTAGAAGCAAGAACAACTTAAAACAAAATGGATCAAAGAAGAAAATAAGAATGTGATTGACTTAGATGGGCCGCAGATGCAGTGGGGGATAGATGCATCCTACAAAAAAATGATACTTAAATCAAGTAACTAACGTTTCGATTGTCATGCCAATGCACTTAACCGCGCTATGTTCTGAATAAGCAACTGCTTCTTCAACATTCGCAGAAGTATGTCCTGACAAAGCATCATGAAGATTCCTTATGAAGTAATCTCTGTAGTCTGCAGGCAGTGACATGAAAGTACCTCCCATCAAGATGAACTCGACCTGGAAAACATATAAATCACTAGCAGTGATCAGTACTACAGATAGGTACACTGAAAACAGCTGAAACTAAGAAGAAAATTTTTAATAAGTTGGGCTGCAGAAGAGATTAAACTCAACTTTATGAGTACTGAAGATAGGTCACAGAAAATATCTGAAATCAAAAAGAATTTATTTTAAGTTGGCTGTAGAAGAAATTAAACTCAAACCTTATCCACACTATGACCCAACCGCTTCAGCTGATCTATCCTGCTTCTTGCCTGGACATACGGATTGTACCTATGATAAGAAACATAATTTTAAACACCCACTGTATATGAAACCTGCATCATCATCATCATCATCATCATCATCATCATCATCTTCAACCGAAAAAACTACATAAACTATCATTCTTATTTGGTAGTCTTAAAGTTTCCTTTATAGAACCGATATCATTCATATCCCCCTGCCAACCCAAGCAAAGATTTGTGCTATTTTAACTTTAGCATTCTTCTTAAAGATCTTCAGCAGCTGCCAAATGATGTCAAAATTATTGTACAATAGAATATCAGGATTAAAAACACTACGCAAGCCCAAAATTAAGCCTACATGCATTAGAATATCGAGCAAGGGATCGGGAGTAACTCTTTCTCTAAGAAAGATTTTCCATCCAAACTCGTATGAAGCCCAACGATCACAGTCCTAGGAATTATCCACCAAGATTTGGCTCAACCCATAAAATACGCATCCAACCAATACTTAATACGTGTGAATAGATTAACTTCAGTTTTCTATACATTGTTACTGTAAAATTGCTAGATAATAGGTTTCAGTTCTAAACCTGCTAAAGCAACTTAAAAAATCACAAAATTCAAGGTAAGCAAGTATAAGCTGCTTCAAGACTAACCCTCGCAAAACACGGGTTCCAAAACTACGGAGCATTAATTCAACTCGAATTCCATCTTCCTCAATCTTGAATTTGGTAAAATATGCAACGCTTATAATTAAAAAAACTTAAGAAAACACAGAAAAAATGGTCACCTGGCTCGGATAGCTCGCATGCTCGTCGGCTCATAACCCGTGTAAGACTGCGTGCTATACTCAAAATCCGAATCCGGACCACCGGGACAATACACACAGATGTTCCCCGTGGTTGCAATGTGCGGACACCTATGAGGCTTCGACATGACCGCCACGACGGCTATTCCCGAAGCCGTTCGGACCGGCTTCGCTCGGATCTTCGGGAGCAGTGCCTCCCTGTCGGAGTCTGGCAATGCCGCGATCATCTCGACGAGCTTCGGAGCCCGAGCGAGGCCGTACTTACGACAAGCGGCAGATTTCAGGGCATTGAGGTCCACATTCTCGTTGCGGTGAGAGAGCTCGACCATGGAGCAGACGATCTCCGATATGGCGCAAACTCGTGCTTCTTCCTCCGTCAAGCCATGGCCCTGAAAACCGCCCCGACCAGGCCGAGGAAGCTTCTTGGACTCGCCGCTCATCGCCGTCGTCGCCGCCATCACCAGAGAAAAGCCTCTAGGAAAGCATTGGGGCAAGTGCGTGGAGTTGAAACGCAGAGTTTTATGTGATGCTATCGCAAGTGCCGTCTAATATTAAAACGGGAAAACCCCAAATAATCCAGCTTGTCGCAAGGCTACACCAAAAATATATAACTCATTAATCAAAAGTCCATTTTATCCTTAAAAAAACAAATAAAAGACGTTATCACCCTTATTAAAAATAGAAATATCCCAATGACGTCTGTTTATTCTTCTCCCGTATTCTCTAATTTCTCCTAATCATCTACTCCCTCGTCGAAAACCGTTTTCTGCCCGTTGAAACTACGAGGACGAAGGCCGAGTACGAGACAAACGAAGATGACGGTGGTGACAGCCATCTTCAACGCTGTCGACGAGCTTCTTCGGACAGAGTGCGAGGTTTTGTACGGGTCTCTCCCATCGTGTCTAGACGGTGCTTACATTCGTACCATCTCTCTTTGACGACGACAACATGCTCTACGCGATTCGAATCCATGGCGATCGAGCTACTGAAACATCTAAGGCTGCATTAATCGTGGATACATGACAGAAGGAATTGTTTTTTAGTTAGACGCATGGAATTAGCTAAGCATTTTATTCGCTCTGTCGGCGGTAAGGTTTTGATCGGACAGTACACTCCAGCCAGTCTTGGTCTCGTGAACACGAGCCTCACGTTATTCGGGAACCGACTCTTTGCTCTCGGAGAGTCCGATTTACCGTGCACCATCAGATTGACGTCGACGACGGACGATGATATCTAGACGATTGACCGGAATGATTTTGGCGGGAAGTTGTTCATGAAAATGATAACTCACGCGAAGAAGTCAGGAGTGGCTGGTTCAACTGGTAAGTGGATATGCACAAAGAGTACTCCACCCCAGGTTCGAACCCCACTCTGGTCAAATCACATATTATCGAAAAAAAAAACTCACGCGAAAGAATGGCAATCCAACTGTCCACAATTTATGATATATCCGAGTTGCGAACGCGTTGATTAGAGCTTATGCCAGAGATGGTCTCCTCGTTGTAAAGGCGAAAGAGATGGAAGGAGAAGGCTCATTCATATAGGAGAGGAGCCAAGGCAAGGCAGAATCTGACGACAAAAGAGATGAAGGATAAGAATATGGAACTCTTTGCTTCTGGACAAAATCAGAAACTAAGGACACAGAATCTGTGCCTCAAGTAAGCTTTCTCTTTAGTTTTGTCTGCTGCTTTCGTCCGAAGTTGTGGAGATGTAACTCTATGTTTTTGGATGTATATATATAATATGAAAGAGTCTAGACTCTATATATGGATCTTTGAAACACTTCGTCCTTTGAAATTCAGGTTCTTGCCTTCCAGAAACAGTGGAGCAAGTGATATGATATTTGTGACAAAAACAAGGTCTAACAACAACTCCAACGAGATCAAACGACACATGTGTGGATAAACTCGAGGATCTTGTGGTGCACACGAACGCGGCCATTCTCTGCAATGTCTCCCAAATCTTTGGTCAATTTCTCTAAAGTTTGGATCTTCGTCTTTAGGATCTCGAGATCTCCCTCAAGCTTCTCCACCTGTCCGAACTCAATCCTCGCGTTGATCCAATTCTTCGTCACTCGGATCAAAGGTATGAGAGCGAATATCATCCCGGAATAGAACACGAAAGAGTAGGCATCTCCCTCCACCAAATCCAGCATATCGCGACGTCGGTGAAGAGCGGGAATCACCTTCCTGTGGAAGAACAACAGGCTGGAAGCCTTGATCAGATCGATGATGGCGAGGAATTGATCAGCCTCTCCAAGTTAGAGATGTGCTTCCGACAATCGATGCTCTTCCGGGCGAAGTCTTCCATGAAACATGATGAGTCATCAGAGTTGATCCGTAATTGGTCGAGGGCCTTTACGAGGTTCGAGACACTTCCGTCCTGTCCGAACCCGCGAAGTGCTTTCTCGATGATTCTCTCATCATCTTTAGCTTTTTCCCAGAAAAGTCTTTGCGCTTTCGTAGGGGGCAATTGCAAAAATACCCTTAAATATCGATTTCACTTACAGTCCATACCCTCGCTCAGAAAAAAAAACGACAACATCACATATACCCTTATAAATATAGAATCTATATAATACCCTTCCTTTATTTATATAATATTATAATATATTAAAATAAATAAAATATAGATCTGCTTTTACCCCATTTTCTCTCTCCTCTCTATTGTTGTCTCCTGCCTTATATCGCGTTCTCTCTCTTCGAGTTTTTCTTCTTCTCTCTCTTCGAATTTCTCTTCTCCTGCGCGATTTTCTGGCAAATTTGCTGCGAAAAACAAGTGAAATCTCCAAGAAACTCATCCAATAAACGTAGATCTCGTTAATAGGTAAATTTTTTTTAAAGCCGGTATATATTTTGGGTATTTAGGGTTTTTTTATTTTCGTGTTTATATAATATAGATGAGTCAAATGTAACATATATATCAGTTAAACTGGTCAAATTAACTCGTCACATTGGTGAAAGTGACCATTTTGTCCAACTGGTCAAACTCGTAGAAATGGCCAGACTCGTCAAACTCGTCAAACCAATTTCACCATTTTGTATTTATTTTGTACATGCATAATGGCTACAAGTGATGAAAGAATGACAATTGTTTATTACAATTTGGTGACAAGTGGATAATAAACGCAAGTGGAGAATATGAATGGGAAGGAAAAGTTAAAGATGCCAAGGGTGTGATATTCCCTTTTCCTCCGACAGATTTGACATGCAGACATCTGGTTGAGGAGTTATATTCTGATATGAATGTGGACAAAGAAAAAGCAAATATTCAGCTAAGTTATCTACCGACAATAAAAGGAAATAGTGAGCCGATTTACATATCGAATGACAAGCAAGTGTTTATTTATCTCATGGACAAAATAAACGGAGGAAGAAACATGTTTCACTTGGAGATTGAAAAAGTAAATTTGAGAAGTGAATGTGGACAAGAAGTTGTTATGCAATATATTCCGGATTCCGGTAGTGCTGTTGGACCATATGGGGCTGTGATTTATGCAGGTTATAATAAGAATATGATTCAGAGTCCCGATTTGAAGAGTAAAGGTGCGAGTAATACGATACAATTTATAGATGATCCGGATGATGAACATACTATTGTTCGAGGAGAAGATGAAATGAATGTAGAACATGCAATTGTTTTAAAAGAGGGACCTGCAGCTGATATGACATGTGAAACCAACAAAGTTGGCTTTGATGATGGAGATGGTGATGGTGAGAATAATATGGCCATTGTAGCTGTGGAGGACACATCGTTTTCTCTTTCAGTATTCAATTTTAGTGATGGATTGAATATAAGTATTGGTTATGAGTCTGATAATAAGGCAGCAACTCAGGAATATGTACGGAAAGGCGCAGTTAACGCTTGTTTCGGTTTTGCTATAGTGAAGTCTGACAAGAAGTTGTGGGAATTAAGATGCAAGTTTTATAGATCGAGTTGTGCTTGGAAATTACGCATCGCAGCGATTCAGAATTCCGAACGTTTCAGTGTAAGATCATATAATCCCGTTCATAGTTGCAGACCTATATCCAAATCCAAAAAAGTTGTGCAAGGTTCAGCGAAGTTGGTTAGAGATTACTTAAAGGAAGAGTATGCTGGTAAACTTGAAACTCCCAAAGCAAAAGAAATAGTAGAACGGGTGAAAGTCACTGCAAAACTAAAGCACAACCGGGTTTTGTGTCCTAACACACCTAGAATGCCTATAAATGCATGTGATTATCCTATAAAAACTAGACAAACTCTCATAAAAATATAGAGAAAAATAGGAGTTATCAAACATGCATTGTTAAACAAAATAAGGTGTTAAATTTAGACAGCTCCGATCATTTTTTACTTATCAAATTTGTTATACGGAGTGTTTCTAAACATTTTCGTAGTTCGGAATTGATAAATTCACCAAATCAGAGAGTTTGACGAGTTTGACGTGTTTGACGAGTCAACCGAGTTTGACGTAATGAATAGAACTAGATGTTCTGCTAAAGTTTTAAACCTGATTAGATCTTAATACGAAAGAGGTTCTTAAGAAATAAAATACTAATAAATTAAAGAGGTTCTTAACAAATGAAATAGTACGAAGAAGAATGTCAGCCTTACTCGGTAGACACCGACACTTCCTTACCATTCGCGAATATATCAGATGCAATTTTTTCGCGAATAGAGTACACCACCGCGTCGCTCACCTTATCCAATAAGGTGAGATCATTCCCGTAGAGTGCCTCTGCATATTTGATGCTGTATATACCGCATTCATTTCCTGTTATGTTTGAGGTAGATTAGAGATTAGCTCGATGGAAAACAAGGTCGAAATGTCAATTCGACCAGTCCCGCTAATCATGAAGGCCTCTGGGATACTTCTGCATAAGTGATGAATCACTTTAAGTGTCGCCTCCTTCATTCTCGGGTTGCAGTCATACACTTGAATCACCATGTTCCTGTAGTCCACTTTTAATAGTGACCCAATGAACACTTACATTAGGATCTACCAATGACGGAATGTTCAACACACTGATAAAACCTTTGAATTGGTCCAATTTTCTTTTACCACTGTCAATTGGTAATTCACCACTCATGTATTGTCCAAGAAGGCCGAGATCTTTCAGTCCTAATTTCCACCATTTGAAGCATTCACAACACTGCACATCACACAGAAGGTACCTCCTACTGTTTGGTTCAATTTGGGGTACACGTTTCCGGATGTCATACATGGCTTCATCGATATGATGTGAGAACAAATAGTCAAATGGGTCAAACAGTCGTCAAACTCGTCAAACTATATGTGAAAACACTAACTTGATCATTGAGCCATACACCTTCTTGTAGAAGGTCTTCCCAAAACTGTGGGTCTCGTAGATATTCCAACCCCGACATCCATAACCTCTCTTGTTTCGGTTTTTGCATAAACTTTAAGAGAGCACTTGCTTTTCTTGTGTTTGTTTCAATAAAACTTTCAACTCGCACAACATTTGAAGGAATTTTGTATGTATGGGTGTTTGAGCATGAAGAAAAAGAGAATTGAACCAAAATAAAAAGAAGA